CATGGAATTCCCAAAGGCTCTTGGTGGGAGGTGGGACTCAAAGACAGGAAAACACTCACCCCAGGGGTGGCCTAATCACTCCGCCAGAAGGTGGGGCCTCACAGCCCCAGGGCCGGCTCCGGGGCCGGGCTGCAGGCGGCAGGCACACCTGCTCTGTACAGGGCCAAAGAGTCAGCATTTAGCTTTGCAGGGCGCGCACATTAGTGTCACAACCACCCGACTCTGCCGACCGACCGTGGTGCCCAAGCTGCCGTAGACAATGCCTACGTGAACGCACATGGCCACGTCCAATAAAACTTTATCCGCAGATGATGAAATTTTCATTTCCTGTACTTTGACAGGACAAAATGCTGTTCTTAATTGGATTCTGGTACCTCACTCAAGGGGTTCCCACTTGAGGTGCTGTATTCAACAACGAGGTGTGCTCGTCACCGGTAGGTCTGAGGAAAGGGGGAGGGGTTTGTGCCCAGCGCTCTGACTCCTGGAAGGAGGCTTGGCCGTTGCTGATATGTATTTGTCAATTACATGTTGATTTCTGCTTTGTAGTTGGCTACTTTTATCTGGTTGAGTTCCTTTCAGCTCATCCTGTTTACTGCTGCATCTGCAAAATACTATGCCATAGTTTAACATTTAGCAAGTAATACAGCATTTAGTAAGAATGGCCTCAAACCTTGAGATCCTTGTCCTATCTAAGAATTCTGTTTCACTTGTTTAAAAATGAAAAACCATTTTGGCTCACAGACCATACAAAACAGGTGGCAGGCCACATCTGGCCCACAGGCACAGCCTGGCAGCCTCTGATCTAGACTTCAGGAATCTTTGCACCTCCCTGGGCACCCCAAAGGGACCTCTCCTGGGATGTGACCCCTGGGGGAGGGAGTCTGCAGTCCCAGCAGGCAGCCTTGCTGTGGGGCGGGGGAGGGCAAACTAGGTGCCAGGGAACCTGTCTCCCCAGAGGGCCCATGGCACGCGGAGAGGCTGGTGCAAATGGGCATCAGTGAAGACAGACAGACAGGCAAAGAGGGATGCCACCAGCTCTCCTGATGCCGGCTGGCTCAGGGCAGGGCATGGACAATCCAAAATGGGCCCGAGGAAGCCCCGGTTCCCCAAGGGAAAGAAGAGGAAGCGGCTGGAGGGAGCGAGGAGGGCTTCCTCCACCTGCTCACCTCGGCCTCTCGGCCTCCAAACACCACTGAGCATCCGCGAAGGGCGCTTGCTTTCAGCCCGAGACAAAGCCTCTGGTTTGCAGCGTCTTAGGGAATGACCCTGGTGGCAGGGAGCATGTGGTGGGCACCGAGCTGCCTGGAATGTGAATATAAACAGAGGACATCCACGTCACGGACGGTAAGTCGTCCCCTGAGGAAACCTCTGGGTGTCAGCAGGGCCGCTGATTGAGTGGAGCCTGTTTCCTACTTGTCCCCTGCTCCTGGGAAAGGCCTGGGGTCTGAGATCTGGTGGAAGGATCCCTGGATAGAAGTCAGAGGGTCTGTGAATGTGGTTGGAAAAAAGTTTCATGTCATTATTTTCCCTGATCTTCCATCGCCACCTAGCTCTTCCTCCCACTGTGCACGTGAGCAACAGACCACGGTAGGGCAGTCCTCACAGAGCCGTGGCTCTGCCGCACGGAGAAAGTGCAGGCCACTTCACAGCACAGCGCCGCTGCAGCAGGCAGCGCGCCTTCACTTACGCTCCACCCTTCTTCCAAACGCTGCTGTCCTGTTAGACTCGCTGCCGACCTTATCAGTGCCTTCGTGAAGAGGCACGTGCAGCACTCCGTCCAAGTGTTTCTTAATATTTTGGTCACTGCATTTTAATATAATTGGCTTCTTTTGAATCCCATAAATTTTATTGTGTAGATTTACAAATGCTATTCCGAGAAGGAGTCCCGACGTCAGAGGGGCCCATGGCATAGCCACAGTGAGGAGCCCCCGTTCTAGAAGGTAACCTCTGTGCAGAGAGCCAACCCAAAGCAGGAGCTCAGGAGCAGGCAGGTGGGCGGGAAGCCCGGGGGGGGGGGGGGGGGGAGTGAAGGGAGCAGCCGGAGTGCATACAGCTGTGAGCTGGGAGCAGCGCCTGAGCCAGTGCCCCGGTGGTCCCGGCTCCACCACATGCTCAACGCGGAGCCTTGGGCACATCATGAACCTCCCAGAGCCTCAGTTTGCTCATCTGTGAGATGGAGACAGTTATACCCGCTTCGTGTGGCTGCTGTGGAGATACAATAGCGTGTTGGGTACAGGGCCTGGTGTGCAGTGAACGCTCAGGAAATGACGTGTTTGGGTCAACGCCACGGCTTCCCCAGCTCTAGGCTTTTGCCCAGGGATCTGGCTGCTCAGCCAGGAAGGCAAAGGGAGTCCACAGAGCTGTCCCGCTGCACAAGTCCAGGGCGTGCTAAGGAGACAGCCCCGTGCCAGGCAGGCTGCCAGGGCTGGGCCACCGCAGTGCCTGTCCATCGTGGCTGGGCTGGGATCGCGCCTGCCCAGCCTTCCTGCTGAGGGGTGGGTGGAACCCTCCGACACCCTAACTCAGGGGTGGGCAAACTTTTTGACTCAAGGGCCACAATGGGTTCTTAAACTGGACCGGAGGGCCGGAACAAAAGCATGGATGGAGTGTTTGTGTGAACTAATATAAATTCAAAGTAAACATCATTACATAAAAGGGTACGGTCTTTTTTTTTTTTTAGTTTTATTCATTTCAAATGGGCCGGATCCGGCCCGTGGGCTGTAGTTTGCCCACAGCTGCCCTAACTCCTGAATATGGAGCCATGTCTTTGGATGATGATACCAGGAAAGCACCTGGAACAGACCATTAAGGAGTCCTGCCCGGCCGGTGGCTCAGTTGGTTGAATATTGTCCCGTGCACCAGAAGGTCACTGGTCCGGGCAAGTGCCGGGGTTGCAGGCCCCATCCCCAGTAAGGGGCAGGCAGGAGGCAGCCTATCCGTGTTTCTCTCTCTCCCTCTCCCTTCCTCTCTCTGCAATCAGTAAAAACATATTTTTTTTAAAAAAAAAAATTCTAAAAGAATAAAGGAAAGGGGTCGTGAGAGCCTGGGACAAACTTGGCCCCACTGGCCAAGTTCCATCCCACTGGCCTGCACCTGACTCCCCCTGTTTTACCCTAAGACTCCGTCCCAGGGCCCAGCACCCTTGCCTGTCCTGTCAGGGAGGCCTCGATGGCACCTGGGGCCCTGCTGCCCATCACACACAGAATGACAACCCTCCGCAGGGCGCGCTGTGGAGAACAGCGGACAAGGGAGCCCGGGGCCGCCACCTCCCTGCCCAGAGCAGGCAGCACGCCCCTCCTCGGGCCTCCGGTCTAGTCCGCATGTCCACGGCTGTCACCGCCACTGTTTCTCTCCCTGCGGCCTGCCAGGGTCTGAGGAGGGGAAAGGCCTGGCTTCGGAGTCTGTTCGTCTGTAAACAGGACAGTGCCACTGGCCTCTGGACTGGTCATGTGGACAGAGGTACTGTCCAGGCATTGGCGGGGAGGGGTGGGGGCATCATGCTGACGAGGGCCCTGAGGTGACGGGCGGTGGCCCTGCCGCAGCCCTGCTGCTGAGAGAAGGCGATGTTTGGGGTTGGGGTCTCCATCCCGGGAGATGCCCTTCCTCCCAGACCTCAGAGCGCCCAGCCCACCTTCCCGCCGCCCTCCACTGCACTCCTCAGCTCCTCCCACCATCCTTGGAGGGAGGAAGGCACTTACCAATGAGGAGATCAAGGCTCCTCCCAGGGACGCTGACAAGCACCCAGGTGTCCCGCAGGCGTGGCCGGCTGCGAGCTCTCTGGCGGTCCTCCCTCCCTCCCGCCTGAGCCCCATGATATCTGCCTCACTCCTCTGTCAGCGAGGATGCCGGTGGGCTCGGGGTCTGCCTTCAGGTCCTGAGCCCTGACCATGTGCCAGCATTTGACTCTGGGACTTGTTAACCCTCACAAGTCTAGGGATAGGCAAGGCTGTCCCCTGTCCCCTGTCCCCTGTCCCGTCCTGCCCCGGATATGAGGAACCAAGCCAGCAGCAGGAGTCGGCCTGGTCCCTGTGACCTGACAATCCGGGCTCCCCCCTGCAGCCCCGATGGGGAGGGAGGCCAGGACGGAGAGCAGGCAGGAGCGGGAGGGAATGTGGCTGCGGAAGCTGCAGGTCTGGGGAGTCTGGGATGCTGGAGGGAGGCAAGGGCGGGTAGCTAATTCAGGAGAAGCAAGCTGGCAGCCACTGCGGAGCCAGCCGGGGAGCCACAGGGCTTGGCAGCGGAGGAAGGAAGCTGCTGGCACATCTGCACACTCGGAGCCACGGGGCTGGCGGCAAAGCTGAGACAAGGAGTGGGCTCCCAGGGACACTGAGTGACATGCATGCCCCTGCCCTGACAGGCCCGCCTCCGGGCCACAGCCCTCTCTCCAGGCTGCCTCACGACCACTCCAAGCATCTCGGTCCCTCCTGACTGGAGCCCAGAGGCCGTGGGTGCCTACAGGCCGAGGACTGGTTAACACAGGCTGGGTAGCTGCAGGGCAAGAGGGGCAACTCGTCACTTTGGGTGGCTAGGTGTTTGTGCATGTGTGTGAGTGTGTGTACTAAGTATGTGTGCATACAAACACATGAGTGTTTGTATGTGCGTGTATTGAGGGTAGGTGTTTGTGCATGTGTGCATGTACACCTGGTGGCATGAGGTGTGTGGGAGCACATGCTATGCTCATGCACATGTGTGCATGTATGTGCATGTGTGTGAGCTGGAGAACTCTGTGGAGAGAGTGTGAGTAACGGGGGAGGATCCCGCTGCCCCATCACCCTGCTGAAGCTGGCTGAGGAGGGTGTGCAGGGAACAGGCCTGGGGAGCCTTTTTCTCCCAAAGGTGCCACCAGCAGGGGAGGGAGAGGGAGGAAGAAGCACCTTATTTAAATGCAAATGACTGAAATACAACTTTCTTTATTAAAATGCAAATTGCACTTCAGTCTCTGACACCTCCAGAGTGCCAAAGCCACAGAACACAATCAGGAATCAAGGCTTTGGGGGACCCCCCGCCCCAGCAGCCAGGACGGTGCAGGTGTATGAAGATAAGGGGCAGGGGAGGGCCCAGCTGGGCTTGGAATGCTGACCCAGAGGCTCCTCCTGCCTCCAGGGCTTCTGGGACAGGCAGCAGCCACTGATGCCGCAAGTGGGGGCCAGAGGTCTAGACGTCACCCCCCAGGGAGACCAGGCTGGAGCTTGTCATGGGTCCTCTCCGGCTGCTCTCTGCCTGGCCGGGCAACACGCCGTGTGATTGCCTAATGAGCCGGGGTCTCCCTGGAGAGCCTGGGAGAGATGAGGAGCCTCAGCTGGGAGGTGGCAAGAACGGCTTATCAGCTTCTAACACAGTGAAATGGATTGCTCTGGGGTGGTCAGACCTGGTGCTGGCGGGCAGAGCACTGGGGTCCACCTACAGCAGCCCCCCTCTCAGCTCAGGCCTGCCTCCCTCAGCCCCCCACTTGCCAGGAGCTCAGGAGCAGGCTGCCAGGTACAGCTGTTCAGGTCATGAGAGGCTGCACTCGGGCCCACGCCCTGCTCCCCACGCTGGGTGACCTGGCATGGGGCCAGTTCCTCTGGGAAGAAGGCTGTCTTTCTTCACAGAGAGACACACTGGACTAAAACCTTTTTCTAATTCATCAACCCACAGAGGGCACCTTTCCTATTTGGCAAGACTCACTGTGGGCCACTGAGACCCCTGACGCCTCTTTCTTCTGCTCTCTACGTCTCCCTTTCAGCCCTTACCTCTCCTCCCTGCTCCTTAGTCCCTCACCCCTGCCTATACTTTGTTCCTTCCTCCCTTTCCTTGCTCCCTGCCTCTGCACCCCTCTCTGTGGGTTTCCTGGTTTGATCCCCAGAATCAGAGCGGAACTGAGTCCCCCGTAGGCTCTGAGGCAGGTGCAGGCAGCCCAGGAAGGTGGCTCTGCCGCCCTGGCACTCTCAGAGCCCTGGTCGTGGGGAGGGGCGCTCCTTCCATCTGCCAGGCTCCTGATATAGGCGGCAGCAGCAGGCGCGGGCGGGCGCGGGGAGCAGAAGGCAGGTGGAGCTGGAGGCTGACAGGGCGCACGTTCCTCCTATAAATAGGCCCGTCTGTCGCCCGGGGCGAGTGGCTTCCTGGGGCACTTCTGATGGCATTGGCTTCCCAGGAGAGCTTAGCTGGTGTGAGCTGGGCCTGAGACAGGGCCTGAGGTGAGGAGGCTGCAGGGCTGGGACCTGGCCCAACACACCGCAGGGGCCGCCTCAGGCAGTCTGGCCTGAGCACCGAGCACCACTGGCTGCCCGACCCGCGCCCCAGGCTGCACAGGCCTCAAATAGAGCCCCTCTGAGGTGCCTACAGAGGGGCCCGTAGGACATCACCTCCAATCACTCAGCTGTCCCACCGGGTGCAGGGGCTGTGCCAGCTCTGGGGTGCCTCCTGGGCTGCGGGCCTGCTGGGGGCACCTGGAACGTGACGGGAGGGACGGAGTCTCACTCCCTGAGATCGCTTCCCAATTAGAGCTGATCTGTGGGATCTGAGCGCTTGTCGCAGGGCCTGCCTCCTGCCTCGGGGAGCCCAGATGACCAGTCCGCACGGTTGGGGCCTGGAGCTCCCGAGGCCAGTGGCTAGGAGGCCGGACTGGGGCAGCGGGAGGGCGGCTCCTCCAGCCCCTGCGGCCTCCAGGCCCGGCCTCATCGGCTCTGCAGGCGCTGCCTCCGGCCTCCTGTCTGCGCGTCCCCTCGGTCTTTCAGCCCTTCCCCAGGGGCTGCTGGCTGTGGGCTGTGGGCTATGGGCAGTACTGCCTGCTCTTGCGGAGGGGGGACCCGCTTGCTCTCCTCCCAGCCCTGTCGCTGGGCTCTGGGTGCCGCTGGGCAGGTTGTCCCACGTCCTCCCCACCAAGCAGCACGCGTGCTGCGTTTCTGTGTCGCTGGCCTGGGCGGGGGAGGGGGAGCCGCTGCAAATGTATGTATCAGACACTCGGGTGCCCGCTGCCCTTGCTAACGAGGGCAGGCCTATTAGTAGCTCCATTTGATTGGCATGGGAACTGAGGCACAGAGAACAAAGCACCTAAGAGATTTGCCCCAGATTTCTCAGCGCCTAAGAGCTTAAGATGAGCTCTGAATCCAAGAATCCTGTGCCCAGAGCCTGCGTGCCTTACTTCCCTGCCTTGGCGGGCAGAGCCGTCAGGAGAGCTGGAGCCCTGGGGAGGCCCGGGACCTGGGGCCAGTCAGCCCCCAGCTCAGGGACTGCAGAGGCCCAGGGGAGGTGGCCGTCGCCCCTCGGCTGCCCAGGGGTCCGAGCCCAGGCCTGAGCGGCCTGCCACAGGGGGTGAGGCTGTGCTGGAAGCTCGGAGACTAGGACTCGGTGGCTTGGCATCCTGAGCGCATCGCCTCCGCCCACGGAGCCTCAGTTTCCCCACCTGCAGATGGCGTTGACAGGCCCTCCTGCCTGCCTCGCTGGCAGGACTGAACCTGCTGCTGGGAGGGTTGTAAAGAAGGGTTTTCAATCCAGAACTGCCCCAGTCAAAGCTCATGCATGTCTGTCACCTGCTGACGCAGTTCTCTCCCGGGCCTGTGTGTGGCGATGTCCCCGCTCCCTGCCGGGAGCCAGACCTGCCCGGGCTGCCTGCCTCCCTTCCCAGAGGAGCAGCAGCGCCCAAATGCCAGGGGCTTCCAGCCGATGACTCAGCCTCCATAGCGAGCCCAAACATCTGGCTGACAAAGGGCACGGCTCGCTCCTAAGTGACTCCTTCTGCACAAATACGTTCTTAATATTCAATTAGCATTCATCCGCCGCGAACAGCAATTACGCCATCGCCTCTCGGCGAGCGGCTGGTTCATTAATGAACGCGTCGCTCACACGCGGGCCGTGCTCCCGGTGAGTGGCGTGCGCAGTCAGAACGGTGGCACGTGTCGGAGGACGCGGGGCTGCCCTGGCCTCCTGGGCGCAAGGTGTGGGTCTGGGCTGGGCGCGTGCCACACAGCCATCTTCTGGAGTTTAAAAAAGAAAGAAAAATGCCAACACCAGGGTTTTTAGATGCCCCTTCACCCCTCCCGGCTGCTTCCTCCTCGCAGGGGCCGGGCCAGATGAGCACCAAGGTTCCTCTCGTCCTCGCCACACGGTTCTGTCCCTGACCTTCCGCTCTGTGTCGACACCACCACCACCCAAGGCTGCCGGGGCCCCCACAGCCCGTGCCCTCGGGCAGCTGCGGCCACCCTGACCCCTCCCTTCCCGCACGGCCCCACCTCGCCGACTGCCAGGCACCTGCTTCTCGGGCCCTGCTTCTTCCTCTTGGTCCTCAGCCCAGGGAGGAGGCAGCGGGGCCGTGATGGGCAGGAGCAACCTCCGCCACGGCCTCAGGGGGCTGCAGGAAGACAAACATAAAGCCCTTACCTGGCGACAGTATGTGCACTGCAGGTGATTACTGTTATTATCCAGGTGCCACACAGGTGCTGTGGGCATCAGGATCACTGGCACATGTGAGCCCGCAGAGGAGGGTGAGAGAGGAGAGAGATGTGTAACCCACCCACCAGCATGCAGAAGGCGCCGTGGGACGGGCAGGAGGAAGTGAGGGCGGGAGGGGGCATCCAGGACTGAGTCTTAAGATCAGGTGAAGAGGGGACTCTGGCCTGGCTTGGCAGGGGCTTGGCAGGGACCCAGTGTGGCAACAGCCAGACCGTGAGTAGCCGTGGTCACATGGGAGGACAGAGAAGCACCTATGGAGGCTGGAAAATTGGACTCTCTCTCGGGGGCAATGAATGGGTTAGCAACGTGAAGGGACATTACCTGACCTGCGTTTCCAAGTGGACCTCGGGTACAAAAAGGAGAGGGGACTGGAGCAAGCAAAGGTCTGGGCCTCACAGCCCTTCCACTGGTGTGCCTGCCAGTGCTGCACACCTGGCGATCTAGGCCTGCATTCCAAGACTCATTTACAGCGAGGTGCTGGGAAGTGACTTCGGTTCCGCCGGACGGAAGCAGTCGCCGAGATCTGCAAAGCACAGTGGGATGGGGGTCATCTTTCTCTTGGCTGTTTCCCACTGGGTAGCGCTGCCCTAAATAAAGGCCCAGACCCTTCACACTCCCGGGCAGCGCCCTCCCCCACCTCCCTACAGCCTGCCTTCCCAACGCACCTGCCCTGCTCTTTCCTGCCCAAAACCTGAGGCCACAGCCAAACCACTCCAATTTCATTCCCCCAGAGGTATCACAGTCCGTCGTGCCTGTGAATTGAGCTTTAGAGAGAGAGAGGGGAGGGGGGGACATTGATGTGAGAGAAAAACATTGACTGGTTGGCTCCCTCACGTGCCCCAACCAGGGATTGAACCAAACTCGCCACTTGGTGTTTGGGGCAACGCTCCAACCAACTGAGCCACAGCAGCCAAGGCACCACTGGGGACTCTGTTAAACACCTGTTAGAATTCCCCTGTTGGTTTCAAAAATGTTGGGAAATGAAAGGACGTGACCCTTTGAGAAGCCGAGAAGCCGAGCTGTGAACCCACCGGACAGACGCGTCCCGCCTTCCAGGGAGGGACTCGGGGAGGAAGGTCCTCCCAGGCCGCACACGCTCGCCAAAGCCATCACGGCCAAGCCATCTCCCTTCATCTCCCTTCGCCTGGGAGTGGTCCAAAGGCGGGCCTGTCGCCGGCTCTCGATCAATAAGTCACAGAGAGGCGTCGGCAGGAAGGACGCGGGGAAAGACTGTCCTCCCTGAGAGGAAGAGAGATGCTAGGAGCGAGCCCCCTTCCCGCTCTGGGTACCGCAGGGAGCGTGTGACGTGCAGCCACCTGTGACCAGGAGCGGAGACATGGCGGGCACGTGAGAAAGCGGCGCGGAACGGTGGGCAGAAGGCGCTCCAAGATAAGGTGCTGAGCTGCGGGGTGCCCGGCCGCCGGGCATCGTAAGTGAGCCTGCGGCCTTAGGAGAGCTGCGCTAGCCTCCTCGTTTGTATCAACAGTAACAATATCAGTACCTCACAGGGTTCTTGTGAGGATAAAGGCGAGTGGTGACTCGTAATCCCCTGAGAAATATCCTGCACATGTGCCTGGAAGTGTTCAGTGAAGAGAAATAGTTAAACTCCCTCCGGGTAATGGCTGGGCTTTTTGTGACCTGCGGCCGGCAGCCTCGGGCTGACACCCGGGTGGTGAGGGGTGAGCGCCTGCAGCTGGGGCAGCGGCTGGAGCCTCCGGGAGGCCCGGGTGGCGCTGGCCTCTGGCGTGGTGTGGATGGTGGGGGACAGCACCCCTCACCTCCTGCGGCCGGGAAAGACACCCCCCGCAAAGGGGCCGAGGGCGAGCGGCTGCCGAGCAGGCGTCCTTTCGGGTGGTGGGAGATGAGGTCTGTGTGCCGGTCTCACCTTCAAACCATCTAAGAGCCGCTTCCCTCGCCAACATGCCTTCCCGGCTCCTGCTGTGAACGTCCCCCCTTCCCCTTGGTGAACAGCTCCTCCAGGAGGCTGACCTTGGTTAGTGACCTTGGATTGTGTCTCTTTCGCTCTACTCCAGTCCCAGAGCATTTGCATCTGTGCTAATCTCCTGGGGACTGTTCAGAGTCTCTGTCCAGTGTGTGCATGCGTGCGTACGTGTGTGCGTGTGTGTGCGTGTGTGTGCGTGTGCACATGTGTGTGCATCCACGTGTGCGTGTGCGTGTGTGTGTGCGTGAGCCCTGTTTCTCTCAGCAGACTGGGAGCGCCAGAGAGGCAGGACTCTCTGAAAACAAAGGAGGTCCCTCCCAATGGGCCTCATTAGCCCGGACACCGAGGGCACAGCCAAGGTGCCCTGGGCCTCGCTGCCTTTCCCAGCCCAGCACGAGCGCCGGCAGAGACGCCTCCCTGCGTCCCTAATCAGATCACGGGCGGGCCGGCTCTGGCTAGCACGGCTGAGCCGATCTACATAATTTCCACGTCCCTGGCTCACCTGGAGAGGGGCCCCAGGCTCCCGTCAAAATCCCCGCCTCTCAGGCCGGTTGGGAGCCTGGAGGGTCCCCCAACCCTGGGCACAGCAAGGGGCTCCTCCCCTGTCCCCAGCACTGGGAAGGGGGAGCCATTTCCCAGTCACATTAGTGGCCAGGGCCCAGGGACACCCCCCTGCTCCCCTTTCTGACCATCCCGAGCACCCCTCTTCTGGGACCAGGCCCCTCCCTCTGGCGCCTGCTCCTCTCCCGTCCCACTGGGACCAGGCCGGCCGGATGAAGATGGTTGAGGGGCACTGAGGGTCCCAGGGGTGGGAGGAGCGGGGCTGGTGTCTTGATGCCAGTGGACTTGGAGCCTCTGCGGCTCTGTGAGCCCGAGCGCCCCCTGCACCCTCCCCTCCCCCAGGCCGCTTCACGGTGCACTACTGCTCTGCTCTTGCTGCCTGGGATTCTGAACCCTTTTCCCACAAGGGCCCCCCTGCCCTGCACCTGGGTTTGAGGTTCTGCTCTTGCCACCACAGCCCTGAGCTCCAGTGCGTCTTTCCGTCCCGTCCCGGTCCCAGCAGGTGCTGCTCAGACATACACGCCTGGACACACCCTCCTCTCCCGGCACCTCGCCCACTGCCACCTCCTGAGTTCAGAGCCCAGCTCTGCCGGGGTGACTGACTGATCGCTCCTAACAGGTCTCCGGCCTCCAGGCCTCTCCCTCTTCTGTGTGCCCGGCAGCCACCAAGATCAGCCTCAATTACAAAGCCGATCACGCCCTCGCCTGCTGGTAACACTTCAGGAAGCCCCTGCAGCTTAAGTTTAAAACCCCAAGCCCCTGTGGCCCAGGGCACAAGCACTGCTAATCTAACACGGGCTATGTTTCCAGAAATCACCCCAGCCATGCCCCCGCCCCTCAGCTCCTGCCTCCCCAAGTCTCTCAGCTCCGCTGCTGGCGGTGCTGTGTCTGCACATTCTCCTGCTGCTGGAGGCCTTTCTCCCGCTCCCGCTGGCTTCCTCCTTCGGAACTCAGGCGCTCCCTCCCCCAGGACGCGACCCTGCCCCCAGCCCCTCAGCCTCCCTCAGAGCAGTGGCTCTGATTGTCCATGCGTCTGTCCCCTCAGCATCAGCACAGCCTCCTGGTGCAGCAGGGGCCTGGGGCACAAGGTCACTTCCCCTCTCTGGGTCTCCCTCTTCGGCTCTGTTCGTTCGGCATCACGTGCTGGGCCTTACTGTGTGCTGGGCGCTGACTGTGTGCTGGGCGCTGACTGTGTGCTGGGCCTTACTGGGCGCTGGGCACTGTACAGCCTCAGGGGGTGCGGGCAGCAGGGAGAGGACAAGAGCATGGGCGCGTCCGACGCCAGTAACTCCGCGGACAAACCACAGCAGCTCAGGGAAGGGTGAGGCCGGTCTGCCTTACATCGGGCCCTCAGGAGGGTCTCCCTGGTAAGTGGACAGTAGAGCACAGGCCTGGAGCTGGAGGAAGTGAGGAGGGACCCCCGCTGATGTCTGGGGGGAAAATTACAAATAGAGGGAACCTGGCCCGGAGGTCATGGTTCAATTCCCAGTCAGGGCACGTGCCAGGGTTTCAGTTTGATCCCCAGTAGGGGCCATATAGGAGGCAGCTGATCTGTGTTTCTCTCTCTCTCTCTCTCTCTCTCTCTCTCTCTCTCTCTCTCTCTCTCTCTCAAAAACAAATTGTTTTTAATAAAAAGACTTCATTTTCCAAAGTCCCATCATTTTACCTTCTGTGGGGAGTTGACACTTAAGCTGAGGCCCAACAGGTGGGAAGGAGCCGGCCTTGCAGTGAGTGAGGGACAGCGTTGCTGGACAGAGTTGCTGGCAGGGCAGGTGGGAGGCCTGTGTGACGGCCTGAGGCCGGGAAGGTAAAAGCTCACCTGGACAGAGGAGGCGTGTTTCACTCTCACATCAATGTTTCTCTCTCTCCCTCTCCCTTCCCCTCTCTCTCTCCCAAAATTAATAATGACGTTATCATGATAAAGGCAAGGGTGTATTAACAGGGAGACAGACACATAGGGCAATGGAGCAGGACAGAGAGCCCAGAAACGGGCCCACACAATATGGCCAATGGCTTGTGACGGAGGCAAAGCAGTTCAGTGGAGAGAGGATGCTCTTCAACAAGGCGGGTGGGGCAATGGGGAAACTGCAACAAACAGACAGAGCCTCGGCCCCACAGTTTATGCAAAAATTAACTCAAAGTGCGTCATGAATCTCAATGTAAAATTATAAATCGTTTAGAAGAAACAGGAGAACATCTTCACAACCCGGAGTTAGGCAAAGAGTTCTCAGAAATGACACCAAAGCACAACCCACGCAAAAGGTGCTAAAGTGCGTTTATCAAATTACAACCCTCTGCGCTGTGAGAGGCCCCGCTAAGAGAACGGAAAGACAAGCCGCAGGCGGGGAGGAAAGTATTGCCAATCCGTGTCTGACACCGGACCTTTATCCAGAACACATAAAGAGCCTTCAGAACTCTGCAGCGAGAACAACCGATCTTTCAAGTACACAGACGTTGGTAGTTCACCAAGGAGGATGTATGGACGCACGTGTGCGCATGAAAAGATGCTCAACGTCTGTAGTCATCAGAGAAAAATAAAGTCAGAGGTGCAGAGCCCACCTGTAGGATGACTACATGGAAGACACGGAGGAGGCGAGGACCCGGGGCGGCCGGGCATGTGGAGGGATGGAGACGGCACGGCCACCCCGGCCACATGTGTTAAACATGCACATGTCATATGACCCAGCAAACCACTCCCGGACACTCACCTGGAGAAACAAGACCCATTCTCACACAAGAAACCTGGAGACGAATGTTTACAGCGGCTACAGTCATCATCACCCAAACCTGGGACCAGCCCGTGTCCTTCAGCGAGGGAAGGCGCAGGGAGCGGTGAGCAACACTGCTCAGCGAGAGGGAGGGGCCATTCTTCATTGAATTTATCGGGGTGACACTGGCTAATAAAATCACATAGCTTTCAGGGGCACAATTCTGCAATACATCATCTGTATATTGTATTGTGTGTTGGGAAAGGGACTATTAATACAGGCAATCACTTGGGAAAATCTCAAAGGCGTTTTGACAAATGACAGAAGCCAATCTCGAAAATCATGTCGTGGGATTCCTCTCATAAGGCATTCTGAAAAAGGCAAAACTATGGGCGTGGAGAAGGGACCGGTGGCTGCCGGGTTAGGGGTGGCGTGGGATGCTGTCAGCAAGGGGCGGGGCTGGTGGGCTTGTCCCGGATCCTGGTGGTGGTGGTTGTATTCCATATACATGTGCTAAAATTCAGAGAACTGCATACCCTCCCAAAGGTCAATT